GGAATAAATTATAGCCAGGGGTGTGCACACCTCCATATATAAACTAGGCCAGCGAAAGCAAGAGTCAGAAGGAACAATGGCAAGAGATGGGTTCGTATAAACCATTCTTACTCATGCTGCAGCTTCTGCCACTAAGGAACACGCATTTATATCTATCTATCTATCTATCTATCTAATGATGCCGTAAATTCCGTCGAGGAAAAAATAAAATATTCCTTTCTATTCTTTTAATACTGTCACTGTCTTAGGTCAGTATGCTAACCGGTGACTTTTCTGCTTCTCCAAGATACATACGAACAGTATGTATCTTTGGAGAAGCAGAAAAGTCTTTTTCCAAACAAAGTGAATATTTGTTATCGTAATAAAAACAATATAATAACACACTAAACATACAAATTATTCATTACATTCCTTCTTTGAAAGTGTCTGTAAATAAACTTATATTGTTTTAATATCATTTAACCCTAGACCACTAACCACGGGTACATAGTACCCAGGTTAAATTTTCCTATTTTTAATTACAATTTTCACTACCAGATTTTCTTACCTAAATAAAGTTTTTCAGTTCCTATTAATGTTAACTCAAAGTACAAAGTTTGATGTGTCTGCATGTAAAATATTTCAAATAAAGATTTATATTTAATATTTTTTTGATATTTTCAGAATCGGGTATGATATACCCATGATTAGTAGTGGTGTAACTTTAATTGATGGTTAGTGTCCTAGGGTTTATTTAAATCAAGTGGAAAAAATGGGGAAACCGGTATTAATGGAAACGTAATGCACTGAGTTCACTAGAGTTCTTGCATGCTAAATTTAAGTTCATTAAGTTTTGATGTAGTCATTCACAGCAGACAGTTTTACTATAGAAATCAAGTTTAAAGGAATTTTCTCTAGAAATCCATTGGCAATCAGAAGCAAGAAAGGTTAAGCATTTAGGTGTTAATGCAAAAATTATTGATGGAATAAATCAGTTAGAAGTCTAATTTAAATCCGTTACAAATAATTTTACAATATATTGACAAATGACAATATATTCAGGGTGCGGCAGAAATACCTCCGACATATACCTCCCGGAAATATCTTCCACATAGTCTTTATTTGTCATAGCATAATGTGGGAGTGATTTCTGGAAGGTATATGTTGGAGGTATTTTTCTGTGCCCTGTATTATTTGAGGGTAGGAAATAAAGAGACAATTACTAATAGAATAAGACCAATATATATATATATATATATATATATATAAATTTAAAAATAAATTTTATATAAATTTAAAAATAAGTTATTCCAAAATTCACTTGATGATGAAACAGAATTAATGCTTTTAATTTAATTATATAATTAAATTTGAAGTTTTTTTTTTAAGTTAATGCTATTACTGCTACTATTAGCTTTATTACTGTTATTCTTGTTTACTGCTACTACTACTACTAATAAAGTTATTATTGTAAATGTTATTACTCCTATTGAAGTTAATGCTATTACTACTACTATTAGCTTTATTACTGTTATTATTGTTTAATTCTACTACTACTACTTATAATAAAGTTATTATTGTAAATGTTATTACTCCTATTGCAGTTAATGTTATTACTACTACTATTAGCTTTATTACAGTTATTCCTGTTATTGCTACTACTACTACTACTACTAAAGTTATTATTGTAAATGTTATTGCTCCTATTGCAGTTAATGTTATTACTACTACTATTAGCTTTATTACTGTTATTCTTATTTACTTCTAATACTACTACTACTAGCTAATAGTAGTAGTAATACCATTAACTGCAATAGGAGTAATAACATTTACAATAATAACGTTATTAGTATAACGCTATTATTGTAAATGTTATTACTCCTATTGCAGTTAATGGTATTACTACTACTATTAGCTTTATTACTGTTAATCTTGTTACAGCTACTACTACTACTACTATTAATAGCGTTATTATTGTAATTGTCTATACAACTACTTCTGTTATTATCAATTATATTAATAATACTATTAACTTTATTACTGTTGTTTTCGTTGTTGTTACTACTGCTACTATTAGTTTTATTATATTAATTGTTTTTCGTGCCTCTCGTATTAATATCATTACTACTAGTAAGTTCATTATTTATTGTTGTTAATACTACTCGTACCCTTAACGTTATTATAGTAATTGTTGTTACTGATATTGCTTTCAATGTCATTACTATTATTAACTTTATTACTATTGTTTTGTTACTACTACTACTACTATTAATGTTATATGTGTAATTGTTGTTACTCTTTCTACTATGAAGGTCAATATTAATAGTATTAACTTTATTACTGTTATTCTTGTTACTACTACTACTACTTGGCCTGGGAATGACAACAGACTACATCCGGCAGCAACGCCTCTGAAGTAAGATTGGAAGTTTTTGAAGAGCGTGGGACCACCTCTTAATTTCTGTTGTTCGCAGGTCCACCCTGACCAGGGTGGGGAGATACTTGTTAGCGTTCTAGCTATGGTCAAACAAAAACAAAATATTCTGAAAGTATAAACATACGTTTTTTTTTTTAGTGAACATACCAGCAATACATTTTTATATAAAAAATGACCCACAAAACATATTGACAGTAAAATGACTAAATGAAATCTTTTGTTGAAGGCATACAATTGCGTTCAAAATATATTTATTTGATGTCATAAAATTGTGTTCAAAATATTTAGATTTCAGCATTAAATAACCCACAGTAGTTAATATGCTGCTAAATAAATTCAACCAACCAAATAAACAACGAACATGAAAGAAATATTTCATCCATATATTATCCTATAATTTCTCAACTCAAACTGTATTCCAAAATATAACTTCAACAAAGCTACCACATAAAACACACATATCACTGCCTCTAGTAATAATATCCACATAAACATGTATATGCACAAAAGCTGAGTATCATCTACCATGTATTCAGTTGTGAAAACAGAATAACATATCATATTTTAATTACTTCAAAGCTCCCAAGAAATTAAATTAAATCTGGAAATAAACAACACAGTTGTTAATATGAATAGGTGAATTTAATTCATACACGATTTCACAGCTCTAGCATTATTCATTCACATTCAGTCTATGAACTTTTCCTACATCTAGCAGCTAAGTCGGTGCTCGGGCGATTGGATTTTTCAGGAGCGTGGATTTTTCAGGAGCACTGCTTAATTGCTGTTTTTTTTCCAGATTCACACGAATAGCGTGGTGGCAAATGTTACTTAAATGTTGGCATTAAATAACCCATAGAGATGTTGATATCCCGCTAAACAAAATCAACCAACCGATCTACTAATACTATTAACGTTGTATGTTATTTCTGATCTTCAACGAGCTTCCTGAGGTCATCAAGTAGACTTTTATGCAGACGACACTACTATTTACTTTTGTCTCAGTAACAGTTCCGTCAAAGTTGACAAAGTTAACCTGGCCACTGCTCTTGAAAAGGACTTCCAATTCGTGGTTAACTGGGGTAGGAAATGGCTTATAAACTTTAATGCCTCCAAAACTAAACTGTTCTCATTTAAACACAGAGAACTTCCTTGGCGCCATCAGCATGGCTTATGCTCGACTCCAGGGGAGAGTTTCACTGTGACTTCTTGGCCTCAACTGACTTGAAATGAAACAACTGCATTGAATCAATAGATACATCTAGTGCAAGGAAAGTTGGTTCATTGTGTCGTACCAGATTTTTTTTTATCAGAGTCCATCTTGAACACTTACAAGTCTACCATTCGTCCGTGCATTGAATACTGCTGCCATATCTAGTCTGGTTGGGCTTGCTGTTCATTTCGAGATTCTTGACAAATTCCAAAGAATAATCTGCAATGTAATCAGTTCTGATTTGGCATCTTGACTTCAGTCACTTTCTTACCGACATGACGTGGCTTCTCTTTGTCTCTTCCACAGATATTTTCATGGCAATGCTCTGATGATCTTTTTTCCTTGATGCTCCCATTACACGAATTTAAGCGTGCTACTAGACTGGCATCCAGATCCCACCTTTTTACTGCCGAAATAGTTAAATATAACCGCCAATTTTTCTCCAACAGTTTCTTTCCTCGCACTTCCCACCCGTGGAACTCCCTTCCGCTTACTTACTTCACCGGTAACTACATTCTTCCAAAAGTTAAATGCAACGTCAATCGCCATCGTCTGTCTTTTTGAATCCCGTTCATCTCTTATTCTTTCCTCAAGCCTCCCTATACGCAGTCTTTTCTTTCATTTTCACTCTGTGACCCCCTACGTACTAGAGGCACTCCCGCCTTGCTTGGGGTGAAATGATTAAAAAAATATATTACTCCTATTTCTATCAATATCATTACTACTATTATTAATTTTATAATTGTTCTTTTTGTTACTACTAATACTACTATTACTATTAACGTTATTATAATTGTTGTTACTGTTGTTGCAATTGATGTTGTTACTACTACTATTAACTTTATTGCTGTTACTGCTACTACTGCTACTACTACTACTACTACTATTAGAATGTCGGTAATGAACCGCCTCATGATAGTTGTTAATGAAGAGTTCGATCTGGTCACGATCTTCTTCAGTTCTTCAATGAGAAAATTCATAAAGAGAATAAAGGCATTGAACAGAATGAATGTTATAAATATTTAATAGAAGAAAGCACACGTGGAGACTTTGAAGAGTTTTCATTGTTTTACTCTAAATAGTTGATTTTTCCCTTTCGTTTGGTTAACATCTCGTTCATGAGCCATATTGAATTGCGTCTTCCAGTGGCCATCATTACGTATTTTTTTTGTTTGTTTGTTTTATTTTTTTAATTATTATTTTTTTTTTTTAAGTTCAGAACGATATTTCAAAGTTCCTCTGAGAATTTCCCACTGAAATTAACTCGCGTATCTCTCAGCAGGCTGAGTTGTTCAATATAAAAGTACTCAGTTAGCTCTGAAGTTGGCTGGAATATTTGTTTAGTTTTTTTTTTTTTTTTTTTTTTCCGTTTCATAAAAGAGAGAAAGACAGACAGACAGATAGATAGATAGATAGAAAGATAGATAGAAAGATAGATAGATAGATAGATAGATAAAGAAAGAGAGAAAGAGTAAGAGAGAAAGCGATGTAAAATTGATAGAAAGAAAGAGAAAAAGAGAAAGAAAGTGTTAGATCTTTTTTTTTTTTTTCAATATTCGGTTATGTCTCACCATTATATAACTTCTTTCTTCTGATAGCGTTTTTGACAATGAGAAGTTCTGTGAAAAGCGCGGCAGGCGTTCAAATCGATATCCAATGAAATATTGAGCCATTTTTTTTTTTAAATACAGCGTTTGAAATAATTAAGTTTAACTTGTTTTAACAGAAAATATTCAAACGACGGAAATAATATGCGACAAAGTATTCGTTCTTTTTTGTTAATTTTTTCATATTTTTAAATCTGCCGATTAAATTGAGAATTTCCTGAAAAGCTTCCAATTTAAAGCCAAGACTTTAGAATGGCATAAGATCAGAAAGCACAGTTCTTTGGCTTTCTTCCGGGTTAAGAGAGTTGCCTACTCACACTAACTCAGTGGTCGACCAAAAAAAAAAAAAGATTTCATTGAAGAATCTCAATGCAGACAATTACCATCTTGGAAGTTTTATTTTGCATTATTTTTGTTACATATTTTTGTTACATATTAGAATCATCTTCAGATTGTTTTTACATATTGCGACTCTTATGTAATCAGCGTGAAATCGATAAATAAAGGTTCTAGTATGTTAAAATTACCTTTGAGCAGCAAAAATAATGAGATAAAAACAGTTGTAAAAATATTGATAATTCTAACAATATCAGAAATTCAGACAACATAAGACTGTTATATCTACTAGTACTATTACTAGTCGGACAACAGTATTAAAATGAAATAGAACAGTAGTCAAAATTGATAATACTGATAATGATTCATGTAAGACATTCAAACCTTTAAGACAATTATGTCGACTACAACTAGTTGGACAACAATATTAAGATGAAATACAACAGCAGTCAAAAGTGATAATACTGACAATGATTCATGTAAAAATACTAATAGCTTAAGACTATTATATCAACTACAAATAGGTGGACAACAGTATTAAGATGAAATGCAACAGCAGTCAAAATTAATAATACTGGCAATGATTCATGTAAAAATACTAAAAGCTTAAGACTTATATTAACTACAACTAGTTGGACATCAATATATATAGATGAAATACAACACTTTTCAAAATTAATAATGATGACAATGATGCATTTAAGAAATTCAAATAACTCAAGACTATTATATCTACTACTACTACTAGTCGGACAACAATATTAAGATGAAATATGATCCTAGCCAAAATTGATAATACTGATAATGATACATGTAAGAAATACAAACGGCTTAAGACTATTATGTCGACTACAACTAGTTGGACAACAATATTAAGATGGAATACAAGAGTAGTCAAAATTGATAATGCTGATAATGATTGATGTAAGAAATTCAAACAACTTAAGACTATGTTTACTACTATTAGTCGGACAACAATATTAAGATGAAATAAAACGGTAGTCAAATAAATAGTATTGACAATAATTTATCTAAATGTTCAGAAAAAAATGAAGATTATTCGGCCTGTTAGGAAAGAGACTCCAAAAGAAATAACTTTTATTTTTGTCAACACAATGAACAATAGAAACATATAGCCTAATAGAACAGTTACATATAGCAAGTCTTCAGCTACAAGACATTATTTGACACATCGTTACCAGCATTGGTTATGCATTTTCACCAATGCTGAACAAAAACTATAAAGAACATGTTCGTAAATATGTACACTATCGTGATTATATATGCGATCATGTGTATGTTGGATACTCGTCTAGTTGGCTACTCGTATTCGAGGATACCCGTCTATTAGGGAGCTAGCCAATCCCTGTTGCAGATGCTTGCTCAGGTACATTTGTGTTTGTTCCATACCTACGGAGCCCACCTGTGGTTTATACTGCAACTATGCTGAGCGGACCTTAGTTACAGTTTCTGGGAAAGAGCGTGTTATCTAGCGAGATCAACAAGTTTAACACAACGGCTACGATAACTAGTGACTTCGTGCTAGCACAGCTATCGACGGGTCCAAGACAGTTCCGTTTACCCAATTTCATTAACAAGGCTTAGGTCAACCCGTGATATGGTTTTTCGCACGCTGGGATCGACGGATAACATCAGGAAGTAACCTTCCTGAGAGATCGACTATATTTATTTGTTTGAACAATGTCAAACTATGGACAAGTATAACTATACCGGAATTGCTGATAGTTGCCGTCGATAGACCGTTGTGGAGAAGATTCAATATGGCTTCTGCATTCGGATCCACCTACGATTGCAAAAGTCAAGGGGATGATGATGATGATGATGATGGGGATGATGATGATTTTATTTATTTATTTTTATCTAACCGGTCTGAATGTTGGAGAAATCTTCTTAAGGAAAAGCAGAGAAACCTTCTGTTAAGCTTGGCACTCTTTAACCAACTAAACAATGGAGAAACATCGAGCCGGGATGACAATTTTGTGGCTTTATTCAAACGTGAAGAAGGAAAATTTTGGTTTGTTTTGTTTTACAGCATATCAATCTCAATGGTTTATTTAATGCCGACAAAATTTCCTTTTTTTTTTCAAAAATGTGTAGCTGGTAATATTTTCTTTTAAAAATGTATAGTTTAGTTTCTTCTGATTTGTGCCATATTAATCTCAATCGGTTATTTAATGTTGACAAGATTTTTATTTCTGGTAATATTTTCTTTTTTCAAATATTTATTGATGATACTAAGTTTTTAAAAAGTATTTCTGGTATTAAAATCTATTTTTACACTTTCATAGTGTTTTGAGTCAGGATGTGGGGTCAACTATTTTCCCATAGCTGGGACCCTAACAGGTGCTACCATCCCGGGTCAGTGTGGTCCTGGGAACACCAGCAATTAAGAGGTAGATCCACGCTCCTCAAAACCTCCTGATCAGAGGCCTTGCTGTTGGACGTAGTTTATCGTCTTAGCCAGGACGCGGATGCAGTTTATCGTCATATCCAGGACGCTTACACAAGTTTGGGTGTTAACTATTTGCCCGTACCTGGGACCCTAACAGGTGTTAGCACTTCGGGTTTGGGTAGACTTGGAACACCAGCAATTATGATGTGCTTCCACGCTCCTCAAAACCTCCTGATCAGAGGCATTGCTGCTGGACGAAGTTTATCGTCTTACCCAGGACGCGGATGTAGTTTATCGTCATACCTAGGACGGATTAATGCGACAGATTTTTTTTAGTTTTAATTTTTAGTTGAATTGCGTAGGCGCCTCGTTTGTTTATTAAACCGTCTATTTATTTATTTTCGCCTACCGGAGTCAATGTTCGAAAAAACTTATTAAATGGACGTACCGGCCGCACAGAAAGAATAAACACTAGTTGTTTTTTTTCCATTTCATTTACTACGGCAGTCTTGTTTATTGTCTTTTCTTATGCGTGTGATCGATAATGATCCCCTCCCCACAGGATCAAAAAAATCGTATTGCCTGACACCCAGTCCGTGGCACAAAAAGGGTGGGGACAAATGGAATAGAGCAAACTCTTGCAAGGAAAACGACAGTTTTCAAGATAGTGTCGACCACTGGCTATTCTCTTTCACCGGTGATGATCAAGAGCGTGTGTGTCGTATCCGGAAAATTCTTCATCCGCAACGATGAGACACCTTTACATAAGAGCAATGCCGGTGGTGTTGTCAAGGGGAAAATATTTCTGATTCGTCTGTCATTGATCGGCCTGAACTGATAAAAGGCGGACGGCGCTAAATCCAGTCAGTGTGGTAAGACAATCGAGCTAAAATAGATAACATGATTCATGATAAAAGGGTGGAACTTGGTGTAGTCGTTACGCAAATGAAAGGCCGCCTTTATCTCTGGTCTAGATCTGGAAAACCGGGCGGTCGAATTGAGCAATGCAATTTGACACTAAAGAAATAAGTTTCCCGAAAATACAGAAGGCGGACAATTTCCCTATCTGAAACGACAGTGCGTAAAACTTTTTACTGGATTTATGGCTGAGTTTTGGAATGTTCTTTCGTGGTAAATTCGTAAGTCACCACTCTATGGAGTGCCGGTCTGATTCCGACGTATAGATACCATTATTCGCCACTTGTGGTTATGACATCTGGGAATCTATTAATAGTTTATGTTTTTTTTTTTCATGTTCTTTTGTGAAAACCTGGCTCAAAATTTACGAAATAACAACGCAGCCAAGATCTTATATAGTTCCTTGGTTGCAATTTCGCCGGTTCACGCGGCTGAACTGATGAGGGCTTTCTTTATTTTGTGGCAATGTGCCCCCCTCCAATGATGGGTCATCCTCCAATGATGGCTCACCCTCCAATGATGAGTCACCCTCCAATGATGGATCTCCGTAAGTATATGAAGCCCGTTTTTAAATTTACGGAATTATCCAAAACTGAAGGATTTACATCGAGGAGATAAATAATAATTAATGAGATTTTCAAATGTTCCTAACCTGACCGAATTCTTTAATCTTTAAATGATATTGACCTTTTTTCAAATTTGCAGATACATCTTAGATTAAACTAATTCTATCAATGATATCAACGATTCTTAAAATCATAAAGGCAAGTTTCGAATTTATAGATGTGCCCTAACTTAAACGGATTATATTTACAAAATGTACGATTTTACCATAGTAATTATACCTTATAATTCTACAGAGATACCTTAATCTCAGTGAATTATACCTAAAGTCTGACCGATTTTTGCAATGATAATAACACATATCCAATTTATAGATGTATCCTAAACTAAATGGATTATATTTGCAAGCTGTACTATTTTTTGTATGCTAATAACATTTTACAGTTCTACAGATACATCTTAAACCTAACGAATTGTAACTATAATTTGAACGATTTTGGGAACGATAACTGCCTCTATTTCTGAGATGAGGTATTATGTACACTATTTACATTATTCGGACTATTGTCTTCATCTCAACAAAGATGAGGACAATAGTCCGAATAATGTAAATAGTGATGACAATTCGAATTTATAGACCTATACTAAACTAAACCGATTTCTATTTACTGTCTAAAACCTTCTTGAAATGATGATTTAGAATGATACTGACTCTTTTAGACTTTACAAATGTATACTAAACAAAACGAATTATATTAATAGGCTAAACCATTTTTGAAATGGTAATTAAAATTACAGAAGTACTTTAAACATGTATCCGAGTAACTCTTGAAATATTAATGAAGCTTTTGTAAATAATGAAAAAGAACGCAGAGAATCACATTCAGCAACAAATTGCTCTATGTGATAAGTTGACATTTTTTTACGTTATTTTCCCGACAATTATTGCATGTATTAAACTTATATTTTATTAAAATTATTTTTTTTTTTATTCTTTGGTAAAGAATTAATTTTGTTCAATTCATTTTTCGAATTTGGGAAGCAAATGCACAAAAGTTTTCAACTCAGGATTTTAGCATTTTTCAAATCCTGTTCAAAATGGAACCGAAGCTATGAGAACTAGGAGAAAAAAAAAGCTGAAAGAAAGGTACAAAGAGTGTTAGGGAGTAACGCAAAGAGAGAAATAAACAGGCGTAATGCAAGAAACTAGGGAAAAAGAAGAAGAAGAAACTAATGTGAAGAAGGAGAAGTCGGTGTCAGAGAATTGAAAATTAGAGAAAGAGAAATAAACAAAGTAAGAGTGCCAGAAATAAAGAGAGTAAGAGTTACACACACACAGAGAGAGAGAGAGAGAGAGAGAGAGAGAGAGAGAGAGAGAGAGAAATTTGGTTTTGTTTGCTTTGTTTTGCTTTACGGCATATCAATCTCAATGGGTTATTTAATGCCGACAAAATTTTTATTGCTGCTATTTTTTGTTTATGTACAGCTGGTAATATTTTTTTCAAAAATGTATTGCTGGTAATATTTTTTCTTCAAAAATTTATTGCTGTTAGTAATTTTTCTTCAAAAATTTATTGCTGTTAATAATTGTTTACAAAGTATTTCTGGTATTAAAACCTATTTTTACACTTTCATAGTGTTTTGACTCCAGTTTGAGGGTTAACTATTTACCCATAGCTGGGACCCCTAACAGGTGCTCCCACCCCAGGTCAGAGTGGACCTGGGAAGACCAGCAATCAAGAGGTAGTTCCACGCTCCTCAAAACCTTCTGATCAGAGGCTTTGCTGTCGGACGTAGTTTATCGTCGACGCGGATGTATTTTATCATCATACCCGAGACGGGAGAAAGATTTAGTGATACTCATTAACATGTAGTTGGGTTGGAGAAGAAGAGGAGATTGATTCATGCCTTCCTGATTTTTCATAAGTGAATATAACGAACACAACTGAACTGAGCTCTCCGATTAACAATTTCGTGTCATTATCCATTGCACAAAATGCAAATTTGACCTTGCAGCACCTGGCATTGTCAAGCGGTTACCCATCTAGGTTAGGGATAGACTCGAAGATCATACGGGAACGGGTGTTTGAACGTGATAGGGCCTTAAGAGATAACTTTTTTTAATACCATGTCATTACAAGATATATCCGATAATGGCTTTCCGCAGATTATTTTACAATTATCTGTTAATTACCATGACTGGAAAAGATAATGAAATGGTTTTCTATTGCTTTCCTTACAGTTTTCAATATCCCTTAACAGGGTCATAGAGATTTCCGCATATTCCTTATTTTTATTACCTTAGTAAAGATAATGGTATGGTTTCGCCTTTCTTCTGCGAGATTTTGTACATTCCCCTCAGACGATCAAACAGGTTTCCATATTTTCTTTTTCTTTCTGATCTGTGAATTGGCATAACGACTTTGTGAAGATGGTTTCTAATTACTTTGACATAATTTTGAATACTATTTACATAGTTCGGACTATTGTCCACATCTTTGTTGCCATATTTGTCACAATGTTTCGGCAAACCTAATATCTTCAGCAACATTTTTTACCAGTGCTCATATTGAATTTTTTGCTGTTATTATAGCATATTTTTTACCTGTGCTCATATTGAAATTTTTGCTGTTATTATAGCATATTTTTTACCAGTGCTCATGTTGCAATTTTTGCTGTTATTATAGCATATTTTTACCTGTGATCATATTGCAATTTTTGCTGTTATTAGACATATTTTTTATCTGTGCTCATATTGCAATTTTTGCTGTTATTAGAACATATTTTTACCTGTGCTCATATTGAAATTTTTGCTATTATTATAGCATAGTTTTTTTACCAGAGCTCATATTGCAATGTTCTTTGTTTTTATTGCTTTTCTGGCACTCCTTATTACTGGTTCCCAAATTGTATCCATTTCTATGTTTGGTTGAACTTGGGAGATTTTTGTGGTAAAAATGGTTACTGAAGACATTAGGTTTATAAGTCCCAGAAATTCATACAAGGGGACATGGCACATTGGATAAAGGCGTTAGTTAGATCCAGTGACAGGACCCAAAGAGTGTGAGTTCGATACCTGGTTAAAGCGGTGGAGAACTTGGAGAGGGGAATTAACAGGAGATAACTGATAACTGACATCCATTAGACATGGCACGTGGAACTAGAACAGTCTACCCCAGCGAGCGAAATAAAGGGTTCAGTTCGACATTCCAACCACCTGAAGAAGGCCGGAGCGTACAACAGACGAATATGGCAACAAAGATGAAGACGACAGTCCGAACAATGTAAATAGTGTACATAATACCTCATCTCAGGAATATAGACAGATGGTTTTGAATGTTCCTTCAAACCATTATAACTTAACTCGGATTCTTTTCTATTCTCTATGAATTGGGATTGATTTCTTGGAAAGATAGTCGGGAGGTTTCTCGTTGGTTCTGCCCGGTTGCATGCATCTAATTCCGTTTTCCTAGAGTGACTGTCAATCTGCAGTTGTTTAACCCATAGTTGACGGGGAAAAGAAATGGATTCATACCTTCTCTAACGCTATTAGCGAGAATGTCAACACAACAGACTTCACCGGAATTTGAACTTGGCTTTCCGATTCTCCTTTCAGGCACCATTTCCTGCGCTCTTAACCGGTACGGAAAAGGCACGGTAATGTTAATATAATCCATTTCCCTATAAGGAAACTTTTGGCATTCATTGTCCAAGCAGACAGGAGTTTTGTTTGAAACCTATAAACTCTTTCTCTTTAAAAACATTTTCAGGAAAATAGGTTTCTCAAGTCCAGTAGCTGTTATGGTTCTTTCTAGTATTGATGGGGGTTTCCTTCTTAACCTTTTGTTTGAAGTCATGTGGAATGTCAACATCTTGATTATATCATTTTTTTCTCTTTGAGTTATATGTGATATCCATTTTAGCTGTTGCTGCTGTTGGCAGTCCACAAGTAATGTGGTTTGTGTTATTTGGTACGGTTAGAAAGAAATATAAAATTAGATAGATAGATGTGAACAGATTGCCATAGATAGATTCATAGATCTGAACAAACTATCATAGATAGATATGAACAGACTGTCATAGATAGATCTGGACAGACTATCATAGATAGATAGATATGAAAAGACTAAGATAGATAGATAGATAGATAGATAGATAGATAGATAGATAGATAGATAGATAGATAGATAGATCTGAAAAGACTATCATAGATAGATATGAACAGACTAAGATAGATAGATAGATAGATAGATAGATAGATAGATAGATAGATAGATAGATCTGAAAAGACTATCATAGATAGATAGGAACAGACTAAGATAGATAGATAGATAGATAGATAGATAGATAGATAGATAGATAGATAAGATAGATAGATCTGAAAAGACTATCATAGATAGATAGGAACAGACTAAGATAGATAGATAGATAGATAGATAGATAGATAGATAGATAGATAGATCTGAAAAGACTATCATAGATAGATTGGAACAGACTAAGATAGATAGATAGATAGATAGATAGATCTGAAAAAGACTATCATAGATAGATAGAAACAGACTAAGATAGATAGATAGATAGATAGATAGATAGATAGATAGATAGATAGATAGATAGATAGATCTGAAAAGACTATCATAGATAGATAGGAACAGACTAAGATAGATAGATAGATAGATAGATAGATAGATAGATAGATAGATAGATAGATCTGAAAAGACTATCATAGATAGATAGGAACAGAATAAGATAGATAGATAGATAGATAGATATGAAAACACTATCATAGATAGATAGGAACAGACTAAGATAGATAGATAGATAGATAGATAGATAGATAGATAGATAGATAGATAGATAGATAGATAAATCTGAAAAGACTATCATAGATAGATAGGAACAGACTAAGATAGATAGATAGATAGATAGATAGATAGATAGATAGATAGATAGATAGATAGATCTGAAAAGACTATCATAGATAGATAGGAACAGAATAAGATAGATAGATAGATAGATAGATAGATAGATAGATAGATCTGAAAAGGAACAGACTAAGATAGATAGATAGATAGATAGATAGATAGATAGATAGATAGATAGATAGATGGAGAGAAAGGGGGTTAGAGTGGTGAAAGAAAATTATTATTGAAAGTAGGTAAAGAGGGTGTGTGAGGGAGGGAAAACACAAATAGACATGAACAGGTAGTGGAGGATACATTAAGAGAGAGAGAGAGGCAGAGAGAGAGAGAAGAGTGGAGGGAGTGACAGCTGTGTCGAAAGAGAGATAGATAGAGAAGGAAAAAAAATTCGAAGACTGAATTAATGAAATGAAATGAGATAGATAGATAGATAGATAGATAGATAGATAGATAGATAGCATGCAATATGTGTGAATGGTGGAGAAAGAGACGAATAAATAGATTTAAAGATGTGATAAGAGAGAGAGAGAGAGATCGAAAGAAAGTGAGACATAGCCTGAAAAATGTGTGAGTTGGAGAGAGAGAAGAATCAACAGAATTAAATATAAGATATGAGAAAGAAAGCGTGAAAAATTAATCTGATGAAGAGAGGGAGAGAGAGACGAATAAATAGAATCAAAATATGATAAGTGAGAGTGAGAGAGAGTGAGAAGTAGAGAGCCTGAAAAAGTGTCATTTCGAGAGAGAGAGAGAGAGAGAGAGACGAATAAATAGAATTAAAGATATGGAAAGAGAGTGAGGGAGAGAGAGAAAGATTGGCTGAAAAATGTGTGATTTGATGTGAGAATTGAATTAAATATCTGGAAAAAGAGAGATAGCCTGAAAAATGTGTGTGTTGGAGAGAGAGAGAGAGATAGAGAGAGAGAGAGAGATAGATAGATAGAGAGAGAGAGAGATAGAGAGATAGATATATATATAGAGAGAGACAAATAAATAGAATTAAAGATATGAAAAGAGATAGACCGTGAAATAAGATAAATTAACTGGAAGAGAGAGAATCCGATCGAGCGAATTAGACGTAAAGATAAAAGCATAACGAGTATTGTGAAAAAGAAAAAAAGAGGTAGCAGGAGATTAGAGAGAGAAAGAAAAAGTTAGAGGTACAGAAAGAGATGGAAGAGGAGGAGAAGGCGGAGGAGGGAGAAAAGTGGTCAAGTGGGGAAAACAAGGTATTTGTGAAACGTTGTGGCGTCTTTGTGAGCCATTGTTATCTCGTCTCTTCGAGATGCGGCCCCAGCCAAGCGTAAAACGTTTCCCAAGTCATCCATTACGCTCTGAGATGTCCGTTTTCAATTTTGGACCGGGCAGCCATGGCACTGGGTAATCACTAGGTTAGTATCAGCAAGCAAGCGAATGACAGCCCGACAATAACTCTATTGCAACATTTGCGACCACTTCACCAGTTCTAGCCGACGTTGGGCCAACGACCGGTTAAAGGTCGTCCAATCTCAACTCCCGCTCTCGAATAAACAGCGGAAGGACTCTGGTGGCAGGAGGAAGATCTCGCGATGGCGCAGATATTGAAAATAAACATATCCGAGATGGCTTTAGGTGGAGAGAGTTTTTCTTATTCACGGGTATCTAGGTAGGCAAAATGACTTGCGGGTCGGGGAAATGGGAGATGGCAGTGTTTGTTCGCGAAGGGAGAGGAGATAGTCTAATTTTGGTTGGAGAATATAATGCGAAACTCGTGAACCAAAAAGTTTCAAAGATTCCTGCAAGATAGTTTCTATTAAATATTCTTATCCCCGGTGACAGAAAATATTACGCATCAACATTTTTATAAACTTTTATTCAGAGATCGGTGTGATTGTCATCAATAAATTCGTCCCTATGATACATACTCAAAAGTAAAATAACAGGAGTAAGGCGTTTAAGTCTTGTTTCCTGTTTAAGACCGAGTTTCCGGTTCCGTCTGAAGTCTACTTCTGGCATCTCTGAAAAATTATTTACTAGAGTGTAACCCGGGACCTGGAAAGAAGTCTCTTATATTCGGATTTCTCTTATATCCGGGTTTGGTCTATATGTATACATTAACACAGGCTCTAATTTGGGACCAGAGAAAATCTGTCTTATATCCGGGTTTTTCTTATATCCGGGTCTCTTATATCCGGGTTACACTGTATTAAATTTTTTTTTCAATGGAAGTAGATACGTTCTCGTGAACAGGAGTAGAGGTTTATCTTTGGTTTGCTGTTTAGGACTGGGTTTCCGTTTCTTTCTAAAGTCAAATTCTGGCAACTCTGATATTTTATTTACTATTTATTCTTTTTTTTTTCTTTTTGTGCTTAATGGGAGAAGATACATTCGCTTATCGTCCGGTTCACACTCCTCCCCGAACAGGAGTAGGTGTTGTTTCCTCTTAAACGTTGGTTTTCCGGTTCCTTGTTCTGACGTCTTCCCATTTTTTCACTCCCAGTAGACCCTTGTGTCTTAGTGGCATCGTCGACTTGCTTGGGGACGAATTGATTAAAATAAATAATTGCAGACACTATTTTTTGTGGCTAGCAGTGTTTGAAATAGGCACAGCGTTTTTTCTTTTTCTATTATTTGAAACAGTGTATGTTATGTCTACCGGTCGGCGTATTCGGTAAAACTTTATAAAGAAGGGATATGATGAGGATTTTCCAAGCGTAGCTCAGATGTGGCACAAGGCCGAAAGTATAGGGCACCCAGTGAGAAGAAGGGATATGGTAGGATCCGAACTTCAAACGCCATTTTTAGTTGATATTCGTAAAAGAAATAGACACCCCATCATATATATATATATATATATATATATATATATATATATATATATATATATATAAAAAGGCTCAAACACTAATCACTAATATTCCATGGTTGTAATTTATTACATTGGAATCGTAATCACGATCCAATTCATTAGACCTACAAATTTAAAAAGAAATCGGAAATTGAATTCTACCTGGTTTCTATTCACTTGGGAATTTATAAACATAAAAAAATTAAAAAAACAAAAACAAATGGAAACTACAGACAAAAGTTCATTTTCTCCATCAAGACATTCATTTCTGTAGTTTACTGCTACCAGCAAGCAGAAATATTTCTTCTCCTGAAGATGGCCATTTTGGCCGAAACTAGTCGAGGAATCTAAATGAAATAATAATAAAAAAACGAAAGAATATTAATCTACAACCTAGTGTGTCTGAAGATTTTAATTTTTTAATATTTTTTTTTGTTAAATATATATATATATATATATATATATATATATATATATATATATATATAGAGAGAGAGAGAGAGAGAGAGAGAGAGAGAGACCACTAATATTATCAATATATATATATATATATATATATATATATAGGTATGGGTATGATAAAATATACACATATATACTTGCACGTACGTATAGATATATTTCTTTCTCAGGTGTTATAAATAAATGCAGTGCTCATTGTTATGTAGCAGAGCTATAAATATATAATATTGAATATACATAATATCCAACGTCGGTAGCTCGACTCGGAGTTTCATGCGGTCTTGGAATCTTCAGGTGCTGTGTATATTTTGACCGTTATAGAGTTCGCATTCTCGCGTGTCGATTTAAAATTGTGTGTTAAAAGTTGTTTGTTTAATGATTTTTGCCTAAAATGTTAGAATTAATTATTTATTACTTATATAATTCAGAATCATAAGTTTCAAGGACGAGGAGCAAAACAAAAATATTTAAAGAAGAAATAAGAAAACAAGTTAGGTACCAAGAGGGATAACTCTCATGTTGTTCGCATAGAATAACATAGTTATACCAATAAAATTAAACTAGTAAATAAATCAGTTCTGTCCCATGCGTGATATATGCTTAGGCGATCATGTATATTTCGATACATGACTGACGAGGCAGATTTTTTCCCACAGTAGGTTGGAATTTCTTTCTGCGCTAGACCAGTTGCCATCCAAGGCTATAGCACCTATAGCTGGGGAGAGAAGAAAAGGATTTATACCTTTCCCAAGGATATGACTGACGAGGCAGATTTTTTTTTTCTTCAGCAGGTTGACATTTTTTCTACGGTAGACCAGTTGCATTTCTAGGCTATAGAACCCGGTCTGTCCTGCTAGTTAGTCCTAGCTTGGGGGAGGGGTTGAAGACGTTTCATACGTTTCCCAAGGGTATTAGCACGTAAGTGAATGTAATGGATTCGACTGGAATTCGAACCTGGCTCTATGATTTCTCAGGCAGATATGTGCCATACGTGATACACGCTTAGGCGATCATGTAACTTTCGATACATGACTGACGAGGCAGATTTTTTCCCACAGTAGATTGCCATTTCTTCTACGATTGACCAGTTGCCATCCTAGGCTATAGAACCCAGTCTGTCCTGCTACTTACTCATAGCTGGGGGAGGGGGAGAAGACGCTTCATACCTTTGCGTAAGTAAATGTAATGGATTGGACTGGAATTAGAACTCAGCTTTCCGATTCCTCAATCCTAAGCCGCTATCCATTAGCCCTAATTTGCTGAGCGCATGAACAGAATTGATGTCTACATGTAACCATAAGACCAAGCACCGGCTCAAACGCATTGACCCCGATTAAGAGAGATTATAATATAGATTTTACGAATATTAATATAATATGCAACAGCTATTAATAGCTTAGAACCCATCAATAATAGCATTTCTTATATCTATAGATACATATAGTCCCATAATACCGTACGTGATTAATTTATAACGTTTGTATATATATAAATATATATATATATATATATATATATATATATATATATATATATATATATCCTCCTTGGGTCTACCCATACGGATTACCTAGTTTTCCATAAACTAACTAACTAACTATATATATATATATATATATATATATATATATATATATATGTGTGTGTGTGTGTGTGTGAAGAAATATAGTCTTAAGGTGTTCAATATTTATGGGATAAAGTGCTCAATATCAGAGATAGAGCGTGTGTAAATATAAAAAGTGAACATAAAGTCAACACTTAGATGCAACAGTCAGTTTCAGTGCTAGATTGCATCTAGTCATGAAACAGACTGTCGCTTCTAAGTGTTGACTTCTATGTTCACTTATATATATATATATATATATATATATATATATATATATATATATAAGTGAACTTATTGATTTCTATGTTCACTTATATATATATATATATATATATATATATATATATATATATAGTGTAACCCGGATATAAGACCTGGGAAGAAGTCTCTTATATCCTGGTTTCTCTTATATCCGTGTTTGGTCTATATGTATACATTAACACCGGCTCTAATTTGGGACCAGAGAAAATCTCTCTTATATCCGGGTTTCTCTTATATCCGGGTCTCTTATATCCGGGTTACACTATATATATATATATATATATATATATATATATATATATAGGTTCACCTATGTTTGGTTCTAAAAGCATTAGATACAAATTTAGGCCTATTATTATATTTATACAACAATTATGGTATTTTAAACGAAAAAAAGTGAGTTATCCCATTGATATGTAACATGTTTACGTATTTCAACTTAAATAATTGTTTTTTTTTTGGTTTTTACTTCTTCGTCTTTCAAGGTTATGAATTTGAATGATATAAATTAATGATATAATGATATAAAGATTAATTAATGATATTAATTAATTATAATATTTTAGGCAACTGTAATTAAATAAACAAGTCTCAACACACAATTTTAAATCAACACCACGAAAGCGCAATCTCTATAACTATCAGAATATAATCAGTACTCGAAGATTGCCAGACTGCATTAAACTCCGAGTCGATCTACCAAGGTTGGATGTTATGTATATTCACTAATATATATATATATATATATATATATATATATATATATATATATAGTTTATGCAAATTTAGGTAATCCGTATGGGTAGACCTGAGGAGAATGATATCCAGAGAGCTCAATGTAAAATTCAGAGGAGATATGTTTGAATAAAAGACAGACCACGTTAAGATTCCATGTAATAAGCTATTTCACCATAACGTCTTCCTTTAATGTCGTTCTTATCATTCACCACTTAGCCACCTTTTATCTAGAGACGAGACGCGTTAAATTTGAGCAACATCTAACCGACACACTGGGGTTAAAATAGAAACTAAAATGATACATATGACACACTCATATCCTCTCTCCCACCTCACTTCGTTAACTTTGCGTATACTTGATGAGGTCCGTAAAAAACGTGAATTTCTTTTCATTTTTTCATTTCAGCTTTTGAAGTAAAGTCTGATGATCCAGAACCCTGTTAAAAGGGGTTATGGTGAAATAACTTATTACATGGAATCTTAACGTGGTCTGTCTTTTATTCATATATATATATATATATATATATATATATATATATATATATATATATATATATATATATTAAAGATAAACAGACCACTTTAACGTTCCATTGTACTAATTCATTTCACCAAAGCCCTTTTAAAGGACTCTGGATCATCAGATAGCACTTCCAAAGATGAAACGAAACGAAATGAAATGAAAATTCATACTTTTGATGGGTAGTGTAAGTTTTGTAATTTAACAGAGGGGGGTAATGACGGGTGGTTTGAGAGACATGGTCGAGTTTAGAGAGGGTTTATTTAATATTTCTTACAACCATACTTAGTATTGGGGAGGAGGGACCAGACTTTGACATATTAAGCATGTATATATATATATATATATATATATATATATATATATATATATATATATATATATGTGTGTGTGTGTGTGTGCATGTGTGTGTTGTGCATATTATTTCTAATCGTAAAAAATACAACCATACTTAGTATTGGGGAGGAGGGACCAGACTTTGACATATTAAGCATGTATATATATATATATATATATATATATATATATATATATATATATATATATGTGTGTGTGTGTGTGTGCGTGTGTTTTGTGCATATTATTTCTAATCGTAAAAATAGAGGATATTTATTATTTGAAATAGACGATCCATTAGTATTCATTAAAGGGTACGTATGTATATCTATCGACCTATATGTATAAATATTTGTAAAAAAAATGTATAAACATAAAAATGTCTTAAAATAGTTGTCGGACTTTGTCCTTTTCATAATGTGTGACGTCATTTGTTTACATTTGATACGCCATGAGCAGATATGAATGGACGTGAGAGATTCATAGAAGATTGAACTTCAAATACAGTAAATTCGACCTTGTTAACCGAACGCCCTTCTGTGGGCAAACCAGTAAAGGCCCGTCAAGCTAAATGATGGGATACAGGTTCGATTCCTGGCGGAGGACGAAAATTTTTTTCTATGAAAATTTCTCGGAAATTCAGGCCGGTTAATGTTGTTTAATACTGTTTATTATAAAACAGAGCATTTACTTAAATATTTGTATCTATAAAAAGAATGTATAAACATAAAAAAAGTCTTAAAATAATTGTCGGGCTTTGTCCATTTCGTAACTTGTGATATATATATATATATATATATATATGTATATGTAATGCGTGATTGAAAAGTAACCCCCCATTTTTACATACTTATAATTTATTTATTAACTATAATTTTTACAAGAAATAGACATGATATGAAAGCGTTTAGCATAAGATTTTATTTAAAATTCAATATGGCCAATAGATTTTGCTATCATCTCGAGCCGCCCAGGAATTGCGTCAACTGATTTCACCAGGAATTCTTGTAATATGGAAGACATAAATTCTTGTATTCGCCCTTCAAGTTCTTTCAATGTCTTGGTTTCGTATAGTAACCTTGCTCCTTTAAGCAATCCTAAAGAAAAAGGTCACAGGTTGGTGACTCCTACATTTACTTTACAATCATCCTCGCTCTCTACTTTTTGTGATGCTATCGATCACTCGTTGCCACTTTTGTAATGTCAACGAATACTCGTTGTCACTTTCCTAATGCTCGTTGTAGTAGAGACTTTGTAATCGCAGATACAACTCTGGTAACGCCGTTGAAGCATACTTGTGTCAGACGCCTTCGAATAACACTCGCACTAATTGTACTTGCTCGATAATACTCGCTCGGAACGTAACCACCGAATAGTGATCCGAATAGTAATCCATATATCGATCAGTATAGAGAATTAGTATAGTGACGAGTATAAAGAATAGCGATCCGTGTAGTAATAGAGGATAGAACAGAAATAGTGATCAGTTAGACGCCACGACAATTCCAATATATACATTACATTTCCCATCACGTGATCTAATTATTCGAAATGGGATCGCCTGTGTTTGCACTCTGCTGATCTGTGTTCAATCTCCAGTGTCGGCAGTGACACTCTATTCCTATATAACAATATTAGTCCCAACATTAATAATAGTGGATATTTCGTATTTGAAATTGCCGACCCGTGTTTATTTATAAAACAGTGTGTATTTTGCCTGTGGTCAGAGTGTGCATTCCGGACATCTTGCTCTTCTCTGTCAGGGATCGAACCTGTTCCCCTCTTTGTAGCGTAAACCACCATTTTTCCGGTGTGCTTTACTTTCCGCCAACGAAAAACGTCAAAGGGCTCTATTTTACGGAAAGCACACCACATTCTCTTAGATTATTTTTCTCAAGAGCACGTATATCTTCAGTTTCGTATCCAAATCGTAAACAAAGCAATTTCTAAAGAGTTAAGGGATTTATTTTTAATCCGGCATTTTTATATTCATTCAATTGTTAATATAACCGATAATGGGGCGTCTATTTTAAATACGAAGTATCCATTAGAAATTGGCAAACGTATCTCCTATAATTGTTTTCCCTCTTTAAACAACAATAGCCAGGGACTGTTATTCCATATAGCTGACCTTCACTTGATCCAATTTATATCGTAGAGCAAGGATCGGCAACCTACGGCCTGCGGGTCGGATCCGGACCGCGAAGGCATTTTGACCGGCCCGCGAGCCTGATTACCAATGACTCTATTTTTAACATGAGAGACGAAGCTATCGTATGTATGAATGGGCTTCGTTTTTGTTTGATGTGTGTGTGTGTGGTTCGTTTGTGGAACAATTTTCAATAACAGTTTCAAACCTACACGTCATAATTTCATCTATTTCACTTTGGTTGATTTTTTTCACTTTGAAATATTTTGAGTTTGACGTTCCTCGAGGAAAAGTAATTTTTGTTAGGTGTTTTTTAATTTTAGATTTTCTTTTGTTTTTCTGATTTCTCAATGATAATATTCATTATGGTTTTAAATATTTATGTTGACAGGGGTCTGCATATGTAATTTTCCTTAATTTTTCATTAATGGCCTTCGTCCGGCCCGCGACCCGTCATTTATAACACGATCCGGCCCGCGGGGTCGAATGAGTTGCCGACCCCTGTCGTAGAGTGAGGAGTAAGTACTCGACTTCTACCCCATACGTGTTGCTTTCTGGAACAAACTCCTGAGGGAGATAATTCTCCGATCATTAGGATTTCATCCTTTTCAAGCCTAGGTTACCCAGTATATATCATATATATATATTTAAAATGTGCTCCTTTTTACGGGTTTATAACAATCTCATTCTGCAAGCTTTTATCTTGAGGCTTTTGATCGGTGAACCATAAGTGGACTGGAGAGAGTGCTTCTTCTATCAGAATCAAGCGATTTGAAGAAGGCTAGTAGATCCAAAGATTCTCCCCAGGAGATTTAGGACTTCGCGCTAACATCTAAGGGCTCCGAACGGTGTGGCTTAACTAATTTCACGCAAGAGTCTTCGGGCAAATCGTGGTATTATTTTTGGGCACTTCCCAATACTGTTGCACGATGATATGAACATTTTCTCACTTCCTTGACAAATTCATACCCGTGAGAGTTGAACCCAAATCTCTTAACATTCTAACCAATCGGTACAGTTTTGTCGCAATATTTCCGAATTTTCCCGAATTTCCCCGAATCGTTTTGTCGAGAAAAATATCCTTTCGCCGAATGATTCGAATGCCTACTTTTTTGCATGAGTTGGTGGTGGGGGGACACAGACTGTTTCAAAGTTCCACTCTTCCCCCCCCCCTTGTCAAATCCAGGTGTCTATCGTTCGTCTATCATTCAAATAGATAATATCTCAAAAGGAGATAACTTTTGAAGTCATTTCCTTTATGGGCAGTTCTGTCTCGATGACAAAAAAGAAATGACAATTATGGAATTGGTAATGGCGATGCACATAGAAACAAAAAAAATATATCCAAGTGTAATTATTGATATATTATTAGAAACGAGAGATGTAAATAAAACCAGTTTTTGTCAGTCGTAAGTGTTTGTCTGTCGGCGATGTGATCTCTTTTGAGACATGATTAAAAACAGAAACTCATTTGCCAGAACAAATATATATCTGTATCTAAGTCCATTTCTCTCTATCTATCTATCTATCTATCTATCTATCTATCTATCTATCTATCTATCTATCTATACAGTATTGATCTTCCCTCTCTATAATAACATAATGCCCTTATCTATCTATCTATCTATCTTACAGTATTCATATCTCCTCTTTATCATAACATATTAGCCTTCCCTATCTATCTATCTATCTATCTATCTATCTATCTATCTATCTATCTATCTTACAGTATTCATCTCCACTCTCTATATTAACATATTGCCCTTATCTATCTATCTATCTATCTATCTATCTATCTATCTATCTTACAATATTCATATCTCTTTATCATAACATATTAGCCTTCCCCATCTATTCATTCATCATCTATCTATCTATATCTATCTATCTATCTATCTATCTATCTCTATCTTTCATATCATTCATCTATCTATCTATCTATCTATCTATCTATCTATCTATCTATCTATCTATCTTTTACAGTATTCATCCACTCTATATTAACATATTGCTATTCATATCTATCTATTATCTTATATACATATCCCCTATCATAACATATTAGCCTATCTATCTATCTATCTATCTATCTATCTATCTTATCTATCTATCTATCTATCTATCTATCTGTGTGTGTGTGTGTGTGTGTGTGTGTGTGTGTGTATTTGTAGAATGTATACTTCAAAACAATCTATTTAAGTAATGCTATAAGCGGGAATCTTCATATACAAAGAAGGATTGAGAAATTATTCATATCTCTATCTTTCTATCTTATAATTCATCTCCTTTTATCATAACATATTAGCATATCTATCTATCTATCTATCTATCTATCTATCTATCTATCTATCTATCTTATCATATTGCTTATCATCTATTCATCTATATTCATATCTTACTTTATCCCCTTATTATAAACATATTAGCCTAGCCTTCCTATCTATCTATCTATCTATCTATCTATCTATCTATCTATCTATCTATCCCTATTATCTATCTATCTATCTCTATCTGTCTATCTATCTGTGTGTGTGTGTGTGTGTGTGTGTGTGTGTGTGTATGTGTGTATTTTTGTAGAATGTATAATAGCATTCAAAACAATCTATTTAAGTAATGCTCCATATAAGCGGAATCTTTCGTATATACAAAGGAGGATTGAGAAATTATCTATCTATTCATCTATCTATCTATCTATCTATCTATCTATCTATCTATCTATCTGCTCTTATGTGTCTGTGTTTGGCTCAAAAGGAAATCTAATGGAATAGCGCTATTTCTTCTGATTCGATTTTGTTGCAGAACAATTTTCGAATATTTTTTCTCGTCGTGTGATTCCGTTTATAACTCTACTGGCCGATCGCCACATTCTGACAATTCTTCGCCGAAGAAATGTCTTTTGTTTCCATCGAATTCTGCTTTATCCGCAGGCAATTCTATTACGTCCAGACAATTTCAGACATTTCCAGATGCACCCAATGCAATAGAAAAATAAAGAACCTTGTCGAGTTCCACATTTAACCCATACTCACGCATACCTATAAATGCTGCTACTTGTAAATTGCTGCAGGTGTAATATGGGACAAAGTTTATCAGCAGCGCGAAAACAATGTCAGTGAACCAAATTTGAATTCCGCTTGCGATACAAAATGCTCCCTTGGGAGAAATATCTCATTTTCGCAGCAAACTCACGTGACAAGAAATTAATAATATATCCCTTCAATGACATATCAAGGAGGCTAATGAGAAAGAAAGTTGATGAGCCGATATATACAATCTCTACTTTTTGAAAGTAGATCTCCTCACAGATGAAGAAGAGACTTGAGGCAAGGAAAATGAAATTCTACAGAAGCTTCTGAGACTATATTGGGCTAAACATGTGAGCAACGACAAAATTTTTAGGAGAATCGAAACAAAAAAAAAAGAGAATTTTACTTGGAATCAGAAAGAGAGAATTTAAATTTCTAGGTCAGTGTTAGAGAGTAGTGTTCTAGTGGAGGCTTGTATTTCACTAAGTGGGTCCTAAAAAGGTTCGACGTACAAAACGTTAGGAACTTGTTATAATAGTTAATGACGCAGCAATCTAGTTGTGGTGGTTGATACTTTAATGTCCGACATCGACTGACTCACTCAACTCACTGAGCTCCCTGGCGACTGCTACTACTACTACTATAATAGGTGGGAGAGTCTATTAACAATAGAATAGGTATCTTCCAGTATAACAGTCAGATATTGGGGAAAGATCAACTCAGTGAATTTCAAACTCACAGCACGGACTGAAGGCAAGAGGAACGGAGGAAAACCTACCTAATGAGCTTGAAGAACAGGGAGCAGGAGAGATAGCAAAAAGATACAGTTTATTAAGAGCTATAAAGAACTGAAAATTGTGGAAAGTCATGATCGTTTAACTCCTGAAGGGATACGGCAAATAGAAAAAGCAGGGGAAGAAGAAGAACAAAAGAAGAAGAAGAAGAAGAAGACATTAAACACTCTTTTATTCATGTAACCGTTTCTTCCTAAATAACAAGCCCTTAAAGTACATATTTTGATGTATTGTATCAATATATATATATATATATATATATATATATATATATATATATATATATATATATATAAAATGAGGGAAAGAACAGATGAAGTAAAATACAACTGTTCGTAGCATTTGCTTTTAAAAACGTGCTCAATACAAAGTAGAGCAATATATTATTATTATTATGATTACAAAAAATAATTTAATCACTAGTCACCATCGACTGAGGAAGTGCAATCAAAGTATTGAAGCATGAAAGGTTTTTCAATGTTTTTATTTTTATCTTTTATAATAATAATAATAATAAAAATATATATATATATATATATATATATATATATATATATATATATATATGAAGAAATTCGGATAACTAACACAAAAAAGAGAATGTCTCATATCGAGAATATTTAACATCGAAAAACATAAAGGAGAAAAAAATTAATTATTTTTAATAATATGTGGAAATCTCCACCCTTTACCTGATGACGGTCGCGAGACCAGAAACAGGTGTAGTAAAATTATGGAAAATAAAGCAAAATATTTTTTTTTCGACCAAAAACTTTTGTGGTACCTCTCTTCTTTTTAATAAACACTTCTCTCGTTGGAACTACTATAACCTCTTTCTTTTATATGATGGAATAAGGTGCTCAATATAGTGTGTAAATATAAAAGTGAACATTGAAGTCAACACTGAGAGGCCTCTCAGTGTTGACTTTAATGTGGGCCATACCCCCGTCTGGGTACTTCCACGAACACTTAACCTCTTCCGCCATATCCCCATAATCTTCATTTCCCAATTCCTGCAGTATATGTTCGTATCACATACCTCAATGAATAATTATCTACCTCGGGTAGCTCTTGTTGAGGGAATTTTTGTAAAGGAAAATGTATGTGTGTATGTGTGTGTGTGTGTATGTGTATGTATGTACTGATTTAAAATGTTAATATTTTTTGAGTAGCTGTCGTAAAAACTGTATGAAAATGCATAATGCATTATAACTTCTTAAATAGACACCCTTTTCAAGGGACCTTATTAGTTAAAAGAAAACCCGTGAAACCCGGGGTGAAATATCACTAGGATTGATTTGTCAAGGAACGCCTCGGGGAGCGTCGTACTGAAGTGTCCAAAAACTATATCATCGTTTGGTTCAAGGCCATCGCTGTTTGTATTTACACAAGACCATGTCATCATGATTAAGAGTTTGAAAATCGGGGTAGTAAGACAGTATTTCTCCAGTTGTCACGGTGGGGAGGTCTTGCTTAGAAAATTAAACTTCAATCTTTTCTGGTGGGATTTTTTTTAATCATTTAACTCTAGTCAATGCGATAATGCAATTAAAACACAAGAGGATTCTTGGAGTAAAAAAAAAAAAGAAAAAAGCTCTAGGGGAGGGAAAAGGTAACTCAGTCCTAAACATGAAAAAAAAACCCGATAAAACCCCTTACTCAAAAGAAGGGGTAGGAGTGTGAACCGTGAAATAGGCGAAATTATAGGAAGGCTTACTGCTATATCAGTTGATCCTCGTACACAACGTCGAGCCTAAAAAAAATTAAAAAAAAAAAACTCTGGCTTTAAATCACTTGAAAAGGTTTAATAAGCCGTCAACAGTGAATCAATCAATCAATGAACAATGCTACAGATGTCGAAGAAACGCAAATGTGCCTGAGCAGATCTTCTGCAACATTCATTCACGCGTAAAGAAACGGCCAACTATACAGTAGTATTCGAGTAGTATTACTTATCGAGATTTATCAAGGTAATTTTCCTTTTAGTTTTTGTGGATTTTTAAGCTTTCCTCTTTGAGTTATATATGTAATAATTAGGACACTGTATGAAAATTTGAAAGTATTTTCAATATATATTTTTTCCCTTAACATGTAAATATTGAAAGATGCAAATTCTAAGAGCTTTTAAGTACCTGCCACGCAACAATATTGCCTGATCGAGTAAATAAAGAGCATGAGAAGATTCAAGTGAATTTACTTGTGAAACAAAAACGAACAATGCATCAGCTTGCCATGAGATTAAAACGTAATGGTAAGGAAATATAGTTAAACGTGCGCAGAGAATCCACAGAGAAGAAATGTTTTCGAAAATGTTCACTCACACCCACAGAACGAAAGTAAAATCCGGTATAATTGTCGGCTTCAACTTAAGAGCATTTACAATTTTGTAGCCTGCAAAATTTACATGACGAGAAAAATACTTTTCAACTCAGCGAATACTCAAATTATTGCATATATAACTCAAAATAAAAAGTTTACAAAAAAGAAATAAAATAAAATAAAATGACATGAGAGAAATAAACTTCTGTCTGAATAACTCGGATGAGGAGTTGTCATTATTTATATGTTTGATAATGCAGAATTCTTATCCTAATATTGCGAAATATTGTCTGCATCTTTGTTGTTACTATAACCTGACCGTCTTCTGACTCAATTTCTGAAATGAAGAGTTAAAATTATTAAAGTTATTTATATAGCAGACTAATGCCATCATCTTTTAGTGAAGTTATTTATATTGCAGACTATTGCCCCCATCTCTGTTGTTACCGTCACCTGATCACCTTCTGTCTGTATTTCTGGGACGTGCAGTTATATTTACTTACATTATTTATATTGTAGACTATTGTCATAATCTTTGTTGTTACTATCACCTGATGACCTTCTGTCTGTATATCTAGGACGTGGAGTTATATTTACTTACATTATTTATATTGTAGACTATTGTCCTCATCTTTGTTGTTGCTCTAACATAGCTGCCATTTGTCTGTATTTCTCGGGTGTGGAGTTAACATTATTTACATTATATATATTATAGACTATTATACTCATCTTTGTTGTTAATATTACCTGATCGCCTTCTTTCTGAGTTTCTGGTATGTTGAATTACTTACATTATCTATATAGCAGACTATTGTCCTCATCTTTTTTTGCTATCGCTTTACCGCCTTCCACCTGTATTTTTCTTTATGAGTGTTTGCTTGGAAAATTGATATTCACGAGACTGATTGAAGTCAAGAGAGAAAACTGCACATAATCTAACAAGCGACTTTGAATAAATCCATGACATAGCTGTTTTTAGGAAAGATAGCGAAAAACAAAATAGCAGGTGCAAAGGACAAGAAAATTGTGGAGAGTCATGATTGCCAACGTCCTGAGGTGACATGGCACAAAGAAAAAAAATTCTCCAAGAAATTCTATTTTTCAAAAATCTGTACCTAAGGCAGCAGATAATTTTTTTTTTATCGTTTTCTCTTTGAGTATCTTTCTTGACAAGAATCGGTTGTTGACGAGGTAAGGTGAACAGTAAAATAAACCAAAAAAAAAAAAAAAAAAATACTCAAAGATATTTTCCTGAAGGAGATGGGAACCTGAATGAAAATGGATCTTAAAAGCGTTAATGAAAAAAAAAAACAAAAAAAACATCAGAGATGAAAACAGCGAAGAAAGCTCTAAGGATCGAAAAGAAAAAAAAAACAAAAAAAATGGCCTACTGGTTTAATATTATATGATGTTATATTATATTTCTTACACCAGCCAGAAGTCGGTGTTCAAAAGCAAGTAAAATGTTGGATTCAGACAGAAGGCGACCCGTTAATAGTAATAACAAAGATGTGGACAACAGTCCGCAATGGATCTTTCTTCGAGACAAACAAATTTTTGGCACAATATTTCTGGATTTATTTTCATCATTTAACCTGCTGAATATTCATATTTTATACCGTTATCAGA